GTCAGGCTGGTCTTGAACTCTTGGGCTCAAGTGATCCACTCGCCTCAGCATCCCAAAGTGCGGGGATTACAGGCATGAGCCACAGTACCTGGCCTAGGAATTCAGTTTTGTTTGCGTTTCTCTATCAACTTTTTTTTCTGCAAATGTTTCTGTATGTGTATTTACTTTTGGCTGTGGCTGAATTTGCGGCTAGCTTCTTGTGTGTTCAGTTGAGAAAAGTTCTCCCCCCTAGAGGGGAAAGTAGTAGGTAATGACAAAGGTCTGTTTGAATTTGCAGCCCTATGTACCAGTGGGGCACTTTTTTAGAACATTCTAGAAGATGAATTGCTCATAGGGACCCATAACTAGTGCTCACTAGATGTATATCTATTATTAAAGGAAAGAAAAAGGAGTAAAGTAAGTGTTGAGTCAGCAATTAGTTGCCAAAAATGTATTTTACCTTTTGTAAAATGTTTTTAGTGCCTGAGAAATTAGTAGAAAATTACATATGGATCTAGATTTGTACATTACTCCTAATCAAAGTAAATCTGTGAACAAATCAGATTTGTTTGACAAACAGCTATATGCTGTTTATCAGGATTTTGTTTGATAAACAGCTATATCCTGTTAATTAGGATTTCCTGATTTTATCACATGTGGGATATAATGAAAACAAACATCAGATTTGCTGGATTTCATTTTAATGCATTTATGTAAGACTTTTTTTTTTCATGGAAAAGCCAAATTAATACCCTTTCTAAATTTTTCAATGCTGGTTTATGGGTCAGACAGATTATCTTTGCTTCCACAAAACATTTCTGGTTATAAAGAATACAGATATGCATACAGTTAAATTGAGCTACAATGAATGATGACTTTACTGTCAAATAAAGATTGATGTTTTTGAACTTTAGTGTTGCAAGTTGCTTTTTCTTAGTTACTGCACTTGCATTGCCTTTTATAAGTTTTCAATGTTGTCCCTTTGACAAGCTTTTAATATCAACAGTGATTGTATTGCTCTGTAGTGTAACTTAAATGGCTTGAATATTTCAGGATAATATTAAGTTATATAAATTTATGAGAAATTTTTGGTTACCAATGCAATTAAAAAAATTAAAATTCACAGAGAAAGGGTATTGAGTCACTCAGCACCACTTTGACTTGTTTTTTTTTGTAAAGTTTCAATTGAGATAGTAAATTCAATGTAATATACACCTTAACTTTTAATATGATAAAGTTGTTTATGTTTTAAAGTGATCATTGAAAGCTAAAAATGATATAGGTACATAGTGATACAGTTTTTGTGTGTGTTTAAGCTCATACACACATATAAGAGCATATTAAAATTAATGAACAAAAGAAACAAATATGATAAAGATGATGGACCTGGTAGCTTAAAATCTCTTGGAATATTCCAGTCTGTTATAAACAAGAGGTATTGGAAACCTATTTTTGACCTTTGTGTAGTCTGCCCAGAGAGCACGGATTCTTATCTTGTCAAAATATTCTTACTCTGAGCACTTGAGCCCTAATTAACTTTTTGTTAAATCAAATAGCCAAAAATTTGCCGCATCTGAAAGATCTAAAATCCCTTAATAATTGTACTGTGATGTGCTGTTAGGTATATTTAAAAATCAAAACCAAACTATTGTCACTCTGGCTCTTAAGGCAGCCAATTATAGCTATTCCATAGTTTTTGTTTAGAAAAATAAATCTATAGAGGTGTTTTTGCATTCAGAGTCATCTTTGGTACTTCTTAGGTGACCAAATCACCCATTGTCTGTTCCCTTGGCCTGATTTCATAACACAGCAATTAGCAGCAAGGTCGCTAGAGAAAATGAGGTATATTGGGTATGCTCCACATTTCCTAATTAGCTGAACCCTATTTAGGACCTGCCCTGAGAAAATGTGGGGAAAAATTGTCAACTCCAAAAGGAAACTCAACCTTTTCTTGGATGAATTTATTAATACAAATATATTTACCCAGAGACTGCACACTTGCCAGGACAGTTAGAAAGACCCTGAGGATTTGTCAGTGCTCTTGCTATAATAAGTAACCAAATTCTTATAAAATAATTATGTCTTATATCCCAATAGCAGATTCTGTTTTCTTAATTTGGTATTTTTGGTTATTGAAATGAATTAACTAGAGCCATTCAGTTTTGTCATCAGTAGGTAATTTCTAGTCTTCCTCTTCTTTCCTGGAGGCTTCTAGTACTACAAACTGGAAACTGTGCCTGTTAAGACAGCCCAGAAGGACACACTCAGAGTTGCAGTGTGGCCTGGACAGTGCCAAGGATTGACTCATTGGAATGGGCTTCCCAGTGTAGGCTGACATTGCCACAATGAGGAGGCCCCTGCAAGGTCACGTCTGGGGCTGAGCCAGGTCCATAGAACCTGTTTAGTCCAGGAGCAGATGACTATGTGAAAGCAGGCCCTGACCAGCATCAGGCAGAACAGAATTAATGGTATATGTCTGGGTCACAGCATCAGTGAGGGAAATTTCATGTGGTCAAAGTTCTATTTTCTGATGGGCATGTGAGCAAGCCCCTTTTCTTTCTTGATGTGTTTCCAGTTCTCTCTTCAGGAAGCTAATGCAAAGTGGAACTCAACTTTTTGAATGCTATCTTAATTCAGGGAAAAATATCTTATGGGGATCTTGGTTTAGATTATAAACTAAGTGAAGATTCAAAGGAATGTAAGGATGATAATAATTTTAGTACTTGAAATTCAGACAAATGTTTTCACAATAGGTTAAGCTTAGAAAAATGTGTGGAATGATATTTAACTTATTTTAATCATTGTACACTCATATGCAATCAAGCTAATTTTACAGATAATATGAAAGCTATTAATTGCCCTAGTGCACAAACCTACTGAAGGCAGTTGGGTAGATTCTATTGCAATGACTTACTGAGATCCTTCATCTTTCATGGTGATTTGCCTATTTGTACCTGTTCAGTAAGACCCAGGCCTTCTTTTTCCAGGATATAATGAATAGCTTGATAATGCAACCAGAGCACAGGTGTGCCCCATTTAAGAATAAGTTTAATTTAATCATGTATGACAAGCCTATTCTTCAGGGATGATGGTTGCTGTTCATATATTGAACCAGCTGTCTCCTCAGGAAATTGAACTGATACCTGCTTTATGGGTCATAGGTCCCCTGCCAGCCTTACAGGTAGTAAGGGAGGTCACTTCTTGGCAAACCAGTAGCCTTGGCAGGTTTGAGAGACCTCAAGATAAAAAAGCAAATCTCTTACTAGAAGAACTGCAGTACAATTTCTCCCCAGAAGTACTGCAGGCAGCACCCGGTGGAGACATATTTCTTGGGTTTGGTTTCACAGCCTTGAAATAGATAAGCTAGTAAGAGCCGTAGAACAAAATTTTAAAAAGTTCTTTAATTCTTGAGATGAATCAAGAGTCTTTCCATCATCTTCAGATGGAAGTTGACTTCCTGGTTTCAGTGGTTGCTCAGTATCATCTGTCTCTAGGCTTGCTGACACACAACCGGAAGGCTTATGTGTGTTTATGAATAGCTCTGAGCACCCGTAGAGCTGATTCAAGGCAAACAACAGAGCACACACACAACATAAAGATACAAGTTCAGAGGCTACATGAAGCCTGAAGAATGAGAAAGGGCTACCACGTGAGTCAGGAGAAAGAATATTCCTGCTGGAGAGAGAACAGCTTGTACAAAAACCCTCAGATGAGAAAGAGCTTGATGTTCTCTGGAGTTTAATCAGGAAACTTGGCATGTAGAAAGTTAGCAGAAAGTAGAGAGAATGAGAGGTGAGGGACAGATAAGGGAGGCCATGACAGGCAATTGTATGTTATTCTAAGTGCATTTGGAAGTCTCAATATTTTTCAGCTGTGGAGTGAGATGATTATTTGATTAACCTGTTGAAAAGATCACCTTGCTCCCAGATAAAAATGGGTTAGAAGGCAAAAGTGTTGAGGGTGGAAGGCCCTGAGGAGAGCTGTTGGTGAGAGATGAGGATGGTTTGATCTAGGGGCTGGCGGCAGAAGGGAGAGACATGCACTTGGGCATGTCGTGCAGGGACAGCCAAGGATGTGGGGTGAGGGAAGGGGAGGAATCAGGATGATTTCTAGATTTGTGATGTGATTGGAATGAATGCACCCTAGCTCCATTTAGGAAGATGACATTTCCCCTTTCTGAAGGAAATGTTTGGGGTAGGGTAGTACAGGGAAGGAAATCAATGGTTTTCACAAATGTTTCTGGGAAGTATATTATATGGCAAGCACTGTGGTAAGTGCTCAAGGAATATTGGTTAAAATAGGTTAGTGGGGGTTCCCATTAGCTTTTCGGTGACCAAGGAAGAAGACCAAGGATATAGTTCTGAGTTCCATGGAGAGTGGTATAAAAGAGTAGCATGGAAAGAGGGAGGAATCAGGTGACACGTAAAGAAAGCCCATTCCAAGGTCCTATTTTCGGAGACACAGAGGACTGGGGCCATACCTGTCCCCACTTCCCCATGTCTCCCAAGACCCTGGTTTCAGCACCTGTTCCTCCCACAGGCCCCATTTGCCACTGATCCCTGTTCATCCCCTGGCAGCATCAAGTATGAACCCTCTTAGTGGAAACATCTCTGGTAACTCCTCTCTCCTTTAGCCTCTACCCACTTTCTAGAGTTGCACTGACCAAGGAAGTAGCCTCTAGGCATGTGTGGCTATTTAAATATGCATTTAAGGCTGGGTGTGGTGGCTCACAGCTGTAATCCCAGCACTTAGGGAGGCCAAGGCAGGCGGATCACCTGAGGTCAGGAGTTCGAGACCAGCCTGGTCAACATGGTGAAACCCCATCTCTTCTAAAAATACAAAAATTAGCTGGACGATGGTGGGCACCTGTAGTCCTAGCTACTCAGGAGGCTGAGGCAGGAGAATCACTTGAACCCAGGAGATAGAAGTTGCAGTGAGCTGAGATTGTGCCACTGCACTCCAGCCTGGGCAAAAGAGCGAGACTCTGTCTCAATAAATAAATAAACATGTATTTAAATAGATTATATGATACAAAGTTAAAAGTTTAGTGCCTCAATCCCATTAACCACATTTCCAGTGCTCAGTAGCCACAGATGACTAGAGGCTGTCATATTAGGAAGCACAGATGAAGGGCATTTCCCCCATCAAAGACAGCCCTACTGGGCAACATTGTGTAAACCACTCCAGGCCTCAGGAAAGACACTCCTGAGTCATGAATTCACTCATTCTCTTTCTGTAATTTTTCCCTCCTCCACACTTCTTCCTTCTGTAAGCATGGGCCACCATTTACCGGTTGCCTGACCTTGGGGAACTCATTTAAATACTTTGGGCCTCAGTTTCCTTATTTGTAAAATGAGAATGAAAAAGGCAACATGGCTGCAAGTACTCAATAAATGGTGGTGATTGTGATCCATCCCAATCTTAATTCCTGTATTAGAATGCCCAGTCCTGCATGCCCATAAACCACCACACTAAAAATAGCCCCTGTCTCTGCACAAGCTCCTTTTGCACTCATGGCCAAATTAAATCTCTCTTGTATAATTGCTGCCACTCTCAGTTTGTATTTAGGTGGGAAGATTTCTGAATCAAGCCTAATAAGTCTTGAGAACGAACTGCAGAGGGTAGAGGGAAGGAAATTACTCTGACAATTTGGAATAAAACAAGATCAGGAAAAGCACAGCAGATAAACCCTGCAAGGATTGAGACCCCACATCTTTCAATGGAAAATCCCCAAATGGTATGTTTATAGAGAAATGCACGAACAAGTGTTTATAGGACTGCATGGAATTTTCGTACTCACCAACGAAAGAAAATGGTAAAGAAAGAGATTTACCCAGAAATGAGAGATGGCGTTTACAAGAAAGGATTTTTCCACCATGTGATCTGGAATATCGAGTAAGAACTTTCCTGTGACTATACCAGCGTTGTTAATGAGGATGGTCACGTCACCAACTTCTTTCCTGACCTGGCCAGAGGGAGGCAAGCATTAGTTCAACTGAGGCGTTGCATTTTCACATTTATTTTCCCAAGTTGCAATTTTTTTTTCTCATTTTTTTCATGTAGTTTCTCTGAAGCTAGATATTTTTATCTTGCATGTAGAAATTCCTCAGCTTTAAAGTAACTTTATGACAAATTATCTTAAAAAAAGAACCAGATTTAGCCAGATTCTGGATTTTTTTGTGTGAAGACGGCCTGCAGCATATTTTCCTCACCTCCCATTTCTGTTACACGACTGCCCGTTCCTGGGTCACTAATGGCAGTGGAGTCTGAGTGACACTGCCTCCCTGCATGTCTCAGGACCGTTCCCTTCAGATGGCCTACAGGTTTTTCCGTAGTACGTCAGCGGGTGTCTGATGCCTGCTTCTGTGGGCATCATCTCCCCTACTCCTCTCTGAGGAGGAAGGCAAGACATATCTCATTCCCTCAAGCCAGATCGGTTTTCGGCATGAACACATCCTAAACATGGATGCCTTTCATCGGCTGCCGATGGACTTCCGTGTTTCTGTGCTCTTCTATCCAACAGACCCTGTCGAATCGAATTACTCTCTGTGACTGATGTTGCCTTGAGTCCCTCAGCTGTGCCGCTCTTACGCCTCTTAAGTCCTCATTCATTTTCCTTCACTCTTCCCTCCTAAGTTGCCCACCTCATCTGCCTGCATAAACCCCAGTATACCACAAGCGCTGCTCAGAGAAGAGTATGCTTCAGGAAACACCTTAGGGACTGGTTTCCTCTCTTCGCCTTTTTGACTCACATTATTATGACTTTGTAGGTGACATTGAGAAAGCTGACCCAATGGCAAACCATGAAGTATGTTTAAACAGCAATTAAGACTTTCCTCCCCTGAACTGGATCTCTCAGCTTATACAACCATCTGTTTCTTTGTTTCTAAACAAGGAGCACCGCCTGCCCTGACTTTGTTTTCTAATTCCTGGTTCATGCACTGCTAGCTGAGCCTGCCAGATAACACGATTTGGAGAATAAGGTAAATATTGCTGCTGATGTAGTAGATTGGAATGAGCTAGGAAACGAATAGTTAATACTGCTGAGCTGATGCTGGGCTGAGGAATTAGACTCCTCTGTTAGGGAGAGAGGCAGGGCAGAGGCAAACATCCACAGGAGACTAACTTTTAAAGAAAGGCATCCCATTGGTTTGGTGAAGCAATCAGTGTGAGCAAGTGCTCATCAAGACCAATGAGGTGGAAACAGAGACCCAAGAAAGAGGTGGAATCTTCAGCTTAATATGTTCCTGAACACTTAAGAAAAGCCCAGTGGCTGCTGTCTGCAGTTTAAGAAGCCCTGAGCCTTAGGGACAACAGGGCCAAGATAAATTTTATCTAGATCATGGGATTTAATTTTCACTGTAACTCCAAGAGGCAGTCTAGGGAGCCATCATTATCCTAGTATACAGATGGGGAAACAGGCTCTGAGAAATTAAGATCTTGCCAAAAGACCCATAGCTTTTGAGAAGAGCAACAGTGATTCATACCCAATTTAAATTCACACAAAAAGCTGTTTTCCCCCAAATTTACTGCTCTTTCTAGTCAAAATGATTATTGCTGTAACAGGCAAGTCTCATGTGTGTGCACGTGCACACATACGCACACGTACAAATAAATATTAATGATTGATTGGATCTGGACATTTGAAAATAAATTGTGAACCTGCTTATTTTAACAAAAGCAATTTATTAATATATTGGTTTTCTATGTTGGAGATGAGAATGTTACCTCAATCTAATTTTGGGAAGTTAATGACTATGCACTTTCAGAATGCTGTTATTGCCATTCACCTTTCCACAAATTTCAAGGAATCCGGTAAAGCCTGTGGTTTGTTGAAAGTCTTGAAGTACAACCCTAGTATTTAGGTTTCTTGGAAGTTGCTACATAATTGAAATTATACAAAAAAAGCATATAAAGTAGTTGGCTGAGAAAAATTCTATTTATAGGAGTGCAGAAAAGAACATTTTAATGTGAAAAGATAATTTTAGGTTAAAGTTTTTAGTCTGGTTTCTACTAAGTAGCAAGAAAATGTTGACCAAGAAGGAAAGATTTGTTAGGGGTTGGCAATGGGGCAAAAGGGCAGGAGATTACAATACTTTTGATCAAAGAAAGAGGATTATGAGGGGGTCTTTCCATTATGCACATATTGTTGATGTCCCTTTGGGGATGCAGCATGGGGTCTGTCCTAGGTGATGGGGTCCCTCACTTGTCTGCTCTAAGGCCTGGGTAAGTTCCTTAAGCTCTCTCTGCCTCTGCTCCATCACTAGTAAAATGGAGAAAATGATAGTACCTGCTTCCTTGTGAAGATTATATGGGATGATACTTTGGAAGAAAAAACTTTCTCCAGGGTCCTGATCTGGCTAGTTAGTGGTACTGGGACTGGAGCTCTGTTAGACTGCTTCCCAAGCTCATCCCGGATATATTCGTCTACGAACTTTTCCAGCCACGTGTCTTTCCCTTTACAAATGAGGACTAACTTTGATTCCACTTGCTTTGTACTAAAATATGCCTAAAGATCTACAATACAATACTTGCATTAGCTCATGATGAATTATAAAGAAAAAATCCTGTGGGACCACCAAATAAAGAAGAAGGCAATAGAAAATGATGGATAAGGGTGAAGAGGGTGCTTCAGAAGGTTAAGTGTCACAGAGTAGGATTCAATCAATGTTTTTTGAATGGATCAATAAGTGAATTTCATATGTAGAGCTTAGATTGATTGCCGAAGGGATGGAAAATCCCTTGGATATTCTGTTATCAAAGTGTTTGCACCCCTTTGGGCCATAGCATAGTGGATAAGAGAACACACTTTGGCTTCAACCTGCCTGGGTTTTGGCTAATCATTAGTTTTATGATCTTGGGCAAATTACATATTCATTTTGTTCCTCAGTTTTCTCATTTGTTAGTGGGGATGACGATAATGATGTATACCTAAGAAGGTGGTATTGTGTTGATTAAATGAGTGGTGATGTGTGTAATGTGCTTAGAATAGTAACTATTTGTGATATAGTGGGCTTTTTTTTTTTTCTAGTGTGTCTTGACCAATTTGAGGCAATGGCTAGAGGCTGATCAGTTCCCCTTCCTGAGCAACCAGTTAAGTCCACATATCCAAACACTTCCCTTATTGAGTCCTCACACTCTAGGCTGCTCTATGCCCACCCTAGTCACACCAGGGCCAGGTACCAGACAACCAGGGGCAGCCTCTATGCCCTAGAGCCCCCTGAAGTTATTACAATTAACCAGGGCTGAACATGCTTACCCTGCCTTGCCCATTCCTTTCTGAGGAAAACACATAAAGGCCCCCACCACTGGCCCAAACTCCCTGCTTCATGAGTGACCCCAGTGCTCCCCTTCATGGTCCTGCAGGCTGTGCTGTGTTCGCCCCCAGGGATAGTGAGCAAAACAAAATGGAAATGCTCGATTCTGTTTCTTTCTCTCCATCTGCATCCAGCCTCACCACACCGTACTTGAGGTAACATGGCCGAAATGCTACTCAAAAGCTGACCCATTGTTGTTAGGGTACCTGCTAGCTACATAGCAGATGGTAGCTGCAATTTAGAGTATTTGTCAATATTTAATGTGGAGTTAGAACAAATATCAACAGGCTAAGTCTAAGAGGAAATTTGGTCTAAAATATGCTAAATGCATATTTATATTTTTTTGTTTTGTTTTTACTGTATATTTCATATATAGCCTCAGTACATGATGATAATGGATATGATGCATTAGAATCACAAACCATCGGCCTGGTGTGCTGGTGCACGCCTGTAATCCCAGCACTTGAAGTCAAGGTGGGCGGATCACTTGAGCTCAGGAGTTCAAGACCAGCCTGGCCAACATGGTGAAAACCAGTCTCTACTAAAAACAGTATATAAAAATTAGCTGGGCATGGTGGTGTGGGCCTGTAATCCCAGCTACTGAGGCAGGAGAATTGTGTGAACTGGGGAGATGGAGGCTTCAGCGAGCTGAGATGGGCACCACTGCACTCCAACCTGGGCAACAGAGCAAGACTATGTCTCAAAAACAAACAACAAAAAAAAGAGGAATCACAAATCACAAAACATAGAAAGTTAAGTTAAAGCTGGATATCATCTTAAAGATCATTTGGTTCAATCCTTTCGTTTTACAGTTGAAGAAACAGGGACCTAGAAAGGGCCAGTAACTTGTTAAACATTGTACAACCAATGAGCTGCAAAGCCAGGAGGAGGCCTCTTTTCCACCACCTCCGGCCGGTGAATGAGACCCCTGAAAACGCAGCTGGGCAGCTCTGGGCTCAGTCTTCTCAGATTCCCACTTGCCTTGTTTACACTGTTCTCCCTTTTGGAGGTTACACAGTCTGATTTCTGATATGCAGAGTCAAGCAGGAAACACATAGAGAGCTCGAGGGAAATTTATGGCAAACTTCTATCTGTAAAAGAGATGCAATATTTTCCTTGGGAATAGAAGCAGAGAACACCAGTCAGCTTACCTGATCAGCAACTCTGTAGACCTCTTGTCTGTTGCTACAGTCACACGTATAGGGAAACACTTTCTCACCCCCGTTTTCTTTGGCCAGTCTACACGTTTCCGTGTTGCCTTCTTGATTAATATCCCATAGAACTAAAATGGCTCCAAGTCTGGCAAAACGTATGGCCAATTGCCTCCCAAGTCCACTTCCAGCTCCTGTTATAAGTACAATCTCTCCAGCAACATTCTTTCTCGTCTTGGGAATTATCTTGTAAACCAAAGATTCCAAAAAGTAATATAGAAATTTTCCCAAAACTACGGAGATATCTACAATCACATCCATGTTGATTGACTGCAGAAAGGAATGTCCGAATAAGGAAAAAGGTAACTGATAAATCCATGATACTCCGGCAACAATTACAGTACACAGAGAGCATTTTGCACAAGGAAATTTACCTTTGAGATTTACCTTTCATTCTTCAAAACATACAAATTAACAACAACTGACACAATTGTCAAATTTAAAATTTATATAAATAATGATTATGGAAATATTTTTTGTTAACAAGTACCTTTCCCTACAGGGCACTTTCTTACACTAATCTCATTTAACCCATAGGTATGTCGGTAGGTCACAGATTACTAGGGCAGTTTTACAGCTAAAGACATAAAATCTTTGAGCCTTGACTTGCCCGGTATTATTTGACTAGTAAACTAAGATGTTGGAAGTACATTAAGTGCTCTCAGGGTTGCAGAACAGTTAAGTGGTGCCACTACAATCCCACAAAGGACTTGGACCCAGGGTTGTGTGACAGGGAGTCTGATTTTCAGTGGGATAGTGAAGACATTGCGAAAAATGGGCAGGGAGGATTGCATTTGAGTTTTAGCTAGAAGGCTGCCTCCAAGACAGAACAAGGAGAAAGGGTATTACAGCTGCCCCTTGTTAACTTATTGAGAATATTAACTATATTCTGAAAGGTATTATCCTTGAAAAATTTGGGGGACTTAAAGTGTTCATTCAGAGATTTCAAGCTTGCAGTCATCAAAAAGATTAAGCTATGAAAAATTCATTGTCTTCTCTAAGCTTATATAGACTTTTCTATTTCAAGCACAACCCTAGAAACATATAGTATATTACAATGATGAAATGAAGCTGTGTTTTATCACCTATTAAAAAATACAGGTATTATGGAGAAGGCACTCTGGGCCACAGGATTTTTGAGTGGAGAAGAAGAGAGAATTGAGACTTCCCTCGTAACTTTTCTGTACGAGAAAGTTTGTTTTCCAGGTAGGTGATTTATCTTGAAAGAAATTCAAGTAGCTTGCTATGAAAATCACTAAATTTCAGCAACATATTGTTATGCTTTGGGACCACTTTGAGGACAAGAGTTTTGACATTTTTTTCAATCCTGAACTAATAGACCACACCCTTAGACCACTGAAAGCTTTCAATTTTGGAATAAAAGAAAAAAGTACAAATGAGCCTTGATAGAGAGAGTGCCAACCAGAAAAGACAATTGTTCCTATGTAGGTCCTGGGGCAGTTGTGGCAACCAGGCAGTTAGAAAAAAAAATTTGTGAAGCGTTCCCATTAGCAAACACTTAAGTGCTAAAATGGAACCATGTGCTTATTTCATTCTCAGAATAGCCTTGTGGGGTAAATGTGAGGCTTAGATGGTGACATAACTCGCTGAGGGTTGCACCATTTGTAGGTAGCAGTGGGATTTGAGCCCAGATTCTATGATTCCAGAACTCTTATTCTTTTGACACTACACTTGTAACTCCCCAAATGACTTCAGTTAACTGGATCTTGAATCACAAGGATCTTCTTTCATTTTTCAGGCATGTACTGATTGCTTCACGTTGAAGAATAGGCCATGAGAATGGAGGAAGTATTAGTACCATGTTCACCCACATTGTGCAGGGTGGAATGAGTAGGATTCACTCTGCAGACGTGGATTCAACTGCTGGCCCTGCCATCGACTAGTTGAGGGCTTTGGGCAAGGTTTGCCTTTGTGAGCCTTTGTGTATTTGTCTGTGAAGTGGGCATGATATTTAACTCCCAGAAATGCTATACATTTTCAAATATCAAATGTAACAAAGCATTTTATAAATTGTAAAATGCCATGCAAATATTAGCTTCTGTCACTTGCACAGGAGCCTCTTTGAGTATGGCACTGAGTTTGCAGCCAGCTGGCCATAAAGACGCCAAACATGCAGGCATGGGAAGCTTTTCTCTACTGTTTAGCGTTGTGCCTCAACTATGAAATTGCTGAGGAGGGGCATGGGAGACAAGTTTGTTGATAGGTGTAGGACCCCAGTGAGGGGCCAGGACAGGAATTCAGGCACATCTGTGTGGCACACACAAGCACGTTCCCTCCAATCTCTCTTGGCTTTCTCTCGTGTCCTTAACCACCTCTTCTCCTCAATTTGCCAAAAGCCATGCAAGCAAACAACAATTAGCAAAGAGGAATAAAGAGACATTGGAGATGATCACAGAATGACTTCATACCCCTATTTAGAAATTGCACTAAATCATGCTCAGAGAAACTCATTCTCAGCTGTAGACACTTAGAATGTTCTCCCGAGTGGCTAAATAAACTAATCTTACCTGCAGAAATACTGCACTCGGGTAGCACGGGCGTCCTCACAGGGGCTGAAGCAAACAGCACTCGTGTCAGTAGCTAGAAGCTCGCTCTTAAATAACTTTGGGTTTACTATTTTTCAACTGAAATTACTATTTCACAACTTCTGAGATCTCTCTATGTGCAAGATAAAGGCGTGTCAACCGTGAGAATTTCCCTGGGCTTCACCTGTGTTTTCATTAGTGCAATATATGGTATACGGCCTGCACTTTCAACTCCCACAGTGGCCTGTAGTAGAGGTATGTCCTGTGACATAATTTATAGGCATAACACTGCCATTATGTCAGGCTTCCCGTGGGTATCCTGAAATCTTTATTTCTACATTCAGGACACAAACACTTCCTTAGTTCTGTTAGGAAAATGTGAAACACAGTTGCAGTGTCATCTAAACAATTTGATTGTCAGGATACATATTTTCTCCCAGTTTGTATTATGAAAACTTACCAATACAGAAAACTTTGGGAAATGGCACATAAATGTTCTAAGAACCCAGACTTGAACCAAGCAGTCAAGCCAAACATTTTACCTTCTTTTTTTTTTTGAGATGGAGTCTCGCTCTGTCACCAGGCTGGAGTGTAGTGGCACGATCTTGGCTCACTGCAACCTCCACCACCCGGGTTCAAGCGATTCTCCTGCCTCAGCCTCCTGAGTAGTTGGGACTGTACGCACACGCCACCACACCCAGCTAATTTTCTGTATTTTTAGTAGAGACAGAGTTTCACCATGTTGGCCAGGATGGTCTCAATCTCCTGACTTCATGATCTGTCCACCTTGGCCTCCCAAAGTGCTGGGATTACAGGTGTTAGCCACTGTGCCTGACTGCTTTCTTGTTTTTTTTTGTTGTTGTTGTTTGTTTGTTTTTTTCAGACAGAGCTTCACTCTGTCACCAAGGCTGGAGTGCAGGGGCCCAATCTCTGCTCACTGCAACCTCCACCTCCTGGGTTCAAGTGATTCTCCTGCCTCAGCTTCCCAAGTAGCTGGGACTACAGGTGCATACCACCACACCTAGCTAATTTTTGCATTTTTATTAGAGATGAGGTTTCACCATGTTGGTCAGGCTGGTCTTGAACTCCTGACCTCAGGAGATCTGCCTGCCTCGGCCTCCCAAAGTTCTGGGATTACAGGCATGAGCCACCATGCCCGGACACCATATTTGCTTTCTATCTCCACCTCTCTATCTCTGGCAACTTATTGAAAATAAGTTGCAGATATCATATTATACTGCAAATACTCAGCCCTCATCTCCTAAGAAGGACTTATTCTATATAACTCCAATAAAATGATGAGACCTGATATAATTAACAATAATTTCATACTATCATCTAATCCATATTCAAATTTCCCCATTTGTCTCAAAGATCCAATTAAGAGTCATGCATTGCATTTGGCTGTGATATCTTTTGTCTGGAACAGCTCTGCTTCATCTTTCTAAAAAATTTATTGATTTATCTATTCACTGACTTTTTGAGGAGTCCAGGCCAAATGTCATGTAGAGTGCCCCATATTCTCTGTTTTTCTTCCTTTTCTCATGGTGTCATTTAACTGGACTTCTATTCCCTATATCTTCTTCAAACTTTAAGTTAGAATTGGAGAGTTGATTATACTCAGATTAAATATTTTTATCAAGAAAATGTCATCCATGATGTGGAACACTTTATTGCAACACACGAAAATGTCTAGTGTCAGGCTGTTCTGTTATTATGATGGTAAATTCAGTCACTAGGGGAAGGCAGCAACCACAAGCTTTATCCATTGTTCGGGCATGTTTCCCACTTTATAATTGCTAGAAGTCTGCGGAATGGTACTTGGTCACCATGTTGACTCTTGCTCCCCGTAATCTTTCGCCTAATGGTTCTTTAAACTATAGTCTTTATTTTTCAGAGCAGTTTTAGGTTCATAGGAAATTGAAAGCACAGGGTTCCCATATAATCCCCACCTGCCCCAGTCCTCCCAACATCAACATCCCCCACCAGAGTGGTCCATTTGTTACAACTGATGAACCTACATTGACACATTATTATCACTCAAAGTCCATAGTTTACATTAGGGCTCACTCTTGGTGTTTTATGTTCTATGGATTTTGGGATTTTGACAAGCATGTAATGACAAATATCCGTGATTACAGTATCATACAGAGTAGTTTTATTGCCCTAAAAATACTCTGTGCTCTGCCTGTTTATCCCCTTCCTCCTAACCCTGGGGAACCACAGACCTTTTTACTGTCTCCATAGTTTTGCATTTCCTAGAATGTCATATAGTTAGAATCACGTAGTACATAGCCTTTTCAGATTAGTTTCTTTCACTTAGTAATATGCATTTAAGATTCCTCTGTGTCTTTTCATGGCTTGATAGCTTATTTCTTTATGGCACAAAATAATATTACATGATCTGGATGTACCACCGTTTATTTATCCATTCACCTACTTAAATACATCTTTGTTGCTTCTGAATATTAACAATTACAAATAAAGCTTCTATAAACATCTATGTGCAGGTTTTTGTGTCAGCATAACTTTTCATTTCCTTTGGATAAATACCAAGGAGCACAACTGCTGGATCATGTGGTAAGAGTATGTTTAGTTTAGTAAGAAGCTTCCAAACTGTCTTCCAAAGTGGCTATAACCATTTTGCTTTCCTCCAGCGATGAATAGGAGTTCCCATTGCTCTGCATCTCCATCAGCATTTGGTATTGTCAGTGCTTTGAATTTTAGCCATTCTAATAAATGTGCAATGCACCTCAAGATTTTAACATCTGTTAATGACCCTTGCCTAAATCAGTGATTACACTTGGGAATGAAAATGCTGATTTTCTGGTTTAGCATTCTTTCTACATTTACTAACTGGCCTTCCTCTAAAACAGGTATCATTTTGCTGTATTTTTTTAAAAATTCTTTCTTGCAATGGAGGATTCTAAAGAAAAGAATGACTCTCACCATGTGGATTTGTCATGCTTTTTGACTCTTAGGGACTCACAGAAAGCTACATGTAGCTGACTGTTACTCCATCATTTTGTATGCCTCATAAAACCTAGCCAATGTCTTGCATATGACAAGCACTCAGTAATTATTTGTTGAATTTAATTTAATTTAATTTAAGAATGAGTCTCAAATGCTATTATGGATGTGGTCAATGAACTCTCAGTGTACTTACAAGTTCCTGGAAAACAAAAATGATATGAATCAAATATATTATGGCAGAAGAGAAGTGTTTTGAAATACTTTTAAGATTAACTTCCCATAATTACTGCTTTCCATGTCGCTCTCTTCCACTAGACAATGAATTTCTCAAGGGGAAGGACTGGACAAATTAACTTTGTATTCCTAGTACCCAGTGAGGGGCATAACTCACAATCGGTTCTTCATAAATATTTGCTGAATCCATGAAATAAAGTTGTAAGATTGGTTCATTGTTGGACTATATTTTTTCTTCTGTCATTCTAGCATGTCTTTTTAAGCCTGTGGCTTCCTTTCTCAGGTTCACCATGTGGCTGCTAGTGTTCAACAATCACATTTAAGTTCCAACCAGGAAGAAGGGGAAGGCAAAAAGCAAAAAGACCATTTTCCCCAAAGCCTGCTTCTGGTACTTCTGCTTTTAGCTTCATGACCACTGCCATCTTCAGAGGAAACTGAGAAATGTCATCTCTTAGCTGGGCATATTGCTCCTCCAATAACATTAGCATTCTGTTACTAGGTAAGCAGGGGTAGTATTCTGGCACAATCAGTTTGGGGCAAAATTTCCTATTTTTCTATTTTGAAATCCTTAGTAGATTTGTCTTCCCTCTAGTTGAATTCATCCTTCCACTTTGTCTTCTGAGGAAATAATGCTTTGATACACACATCTATATATACATATATGTACATATATACGCATACATAGACATGTACACGAATGCATATATGTATACATTTATATTATATATGCATATAGAAATATATGTTTCTATACATATGAACATAAAGCATATATGTTTGTATTTATATCCACCATCCCTGTATGCAGTCACATATACATACACACATATACACACACATGCACACAACACACCCCTTTTTGTCATAGCTCTCTGGGAGTTCTCTGGGGTTGACTGGGATTGATGTTGAGGAGAAGGTGTGAAAGATCAGAACCAACAAGTGCAGGAGTATAGAATTAGACAGGACTGTCTTCTACAATGTCCAGGGGCAGTTTTGATTAGTACAGTACTAGGCATTCTTACTCAGGTGTTTTCTTGTTTATTCAGTAATAAACAAGTAATAAAAAAGCTTATGAATTTACACTATAAGCATGTATTCCAAATAATAATTTTGTTTTCTCTTGTAATCATTGATGTCAGGTGCCAAGTGTCTGCCCTGCAATAGTTGGCTGACATTGGGGGAGCCAACTGTCCAGCTGCAGAGGAGACCTGAGCTTAGCTAGGCATCTGGACACTGCTGATCAGAAGAGTGAGAGCACAGGTGGATGGGTTATCTATGCGCCTTTGTCTATCTTCATACGTTTGGCAATGGGAGGTTTGTCCTCAAAACCCTGTTCCTGCCAAAACCCTTTGTATTTGCTACTGACAGTGTAATCATCAATTCATCATAGCACACCCACATCCCACACAGCCATGAGGAACACAAGACCCAGGCGAAGAAACAGCACTTTATTTCTCTAGAGCTGAATTGTCTTAGCTCTCAAGGCTCCATTTTCACTTACGGCAGATGATTAATCTTACGATTTCCAAGTTATTCCCTATGTCTTCTAGGTTAAAGCCTAGTCTTTTTTTGGATAGATAAGTCAAAATCCTACTCTCTGCCTCATTCCATTGTGTGGCATTAAGGCATTGCAGGAAGGCATAGGTCTTCTTGGTTGAGTTTCTCTGTGGCTTTTGATGTTGATGTCACACTCCTTTTCACTCTTTGTGGACTTCTACCTCACAGCGTCTCCTGCTGGGATTTCCACCCTGTTCTGCTTTCCAGGGGCCAGATCACGCATATCACTCTGCCTGCTCTGCCCATCAGCAATTTCTTTGCTATCCTTTCTGAGTTCCTGACAGCCCTTTCCCTAAAAATGTGGTGGTTGGCTAATGATGCCCTGTCCGTGTAGTGGCCCATTGCACTTGCAGATTCTGCCTTCCTTCCTTTCCTTGGCTGAGTCTTCTAGGCTGTACATTAAGAAGCTCATAAAATATTTATCTTTCAAGTCTGTATCTTCCAAAGGTTTGTTTCGCAACTTAAATCCCTGTTTTTGACCCTTTGCTCTGGTTGAGTAATTTTTTAAATCATATTTGTGCTTAGTCAATACATCTCAGACACAGGACATCCCACTAGGAGCACTACATTGGGTAATGTTTCACAGGACCTTTCTGTGTAATCCCTTGAGAGTAGGTGGGTCATTTCTGGTCACCTGAGCGGGCATGCAGAGACTGATGGCTGGCTTGACTATGCCTCTCAGATTTTACTATAATCTTTCAATTGTTAACTGTGAGGTAACATTTTACATGAAGAAAAACTCAGGAGCAACACTATGAAAGCCTTATTATGCTGATCTCTGCCCTAGCCCTGGAATAGGAATGCGAAAGATTAAACATCAGAGGGAGAAACGTTCAATGAAAGGAAGAATCCAAACCCAGATGAGATTGTCT